GATGACTCCAGACCCATCGTTTTAGTCACGAATGGCGATGGGATTGATTCGCCTGGGCTCGTCTCTCTCGTTGAGGCTTTGGTTCGCGAAGGGCTCTATAATGTCCATGTTTGTGCTCCTCAAACGTGCGGTTTCCCCCATTTTTCAATTTCAAAATCCGATTGTTTTCAACTGTTGATTTGGTTACGTTTTCGAGCTTATTGTGTCTCACAAGGTCTGTGAATTGGAAATGTGCAGGGATAAGTCGGCTTCTGCTCATTCCATGACTCCTGGAGAAACCATTGCTGCAAGTTCTGTTAATATCAAAGGTGCCACAGCCTTTGAAGTTTCAGGTAACATTTATAATCTGAAAGTTGGAGTCTTTGTTGAAGCAAGATCCATTGATTTTCAAGTTGTTTGAAAAGTGTAGAAGCATACAGTGTGCGTGTGAGTATTAGTTTCTGTTCATAGGCTCTGAGATGATTGTTTTGTGAATTTGTGTCAGGGACTCCTGTGGACTGCATCTCACTAGGATTATCCGGAGCCCTCTTTGCTTGGTCAAAACCAGTACTGGTTAGCATTTTGATCATCTCATCATTTGGCTGTATGATATTCTGGTATTATGTCATTTCCACTTCACTGTCTTTGCTTATTCTCTTCAGGTAATTAGTGGAATCAATCAGGGATCAAGCTGTGGGCACCAAATGTAGGTGATTTTGTCTTGTATAGAACTGGTTATCCGTTTTTGTCTGCCCATCTGCTATGTGTGTTCTGATTCGAGAATCCTCCAGGTTCTATTCTGGTGCTGTTTCTGGAGCCAGGGAGGCTTTGATTTCTGGAGTACCCTCTCTGTCAATATCGTTGAACTGGTGAGTGTCTCGTGGGAATACGTGCTGCTACATAATTGGAATCATTGGCCTTTAATTTTTGTAATCGGTTATAGGAAGAAAGATGAAAGCAAAGAAAGTGACTTTAAGGACGCTGTTGGTGTCTGTGTACCTTTGATAAACGCAACAATCAGAGACATTGAGAAAGGAGTTTTCCCTAAAGACTGCTCTCTCAACATCGAAATTCCAACATCACCCTCATCAAACAAGGTTTGATTTTTGAAATTTGTTGTATGCTAAGAACATGGTCTTTGCTTTGCGATGGTTTATTCTATGATGTTGTGAAATCATAACCTCACTGGTCAATGATTCAGACGTTTCATGTACATATGAATAGGGTTTCAAGATAACAAAACAAAGCACGTGGAGGCAGAGTCCTAGTTGGCAAGGTGTTTCAGCTAACCGTCATCCTGGTGCTGGGAATTTCATGTCTAACCAACAAAGTCTCGGAGCTCAGCTTGCACAGCTTGGCAGAGATGCTTCAGCCGCTGTGAGTTAACTCCTCTTATTCAAAACGTTTAAGCTCTCAAATATGTTGTTTCCTATACCTTGTTGTTGGTTAGGAAGGTCCAAGATTAGTTAATTAGATACTGAGATTAAGATATCTGGCAATCTCAGGGAGCGGCTCGCCGTTTTACCACACAGAAGAAGAGTATTGTGGAGATTGAATCGGTTGGTGTTGCTGGTAAAACTGATAGCCGTGTTAAGAAACACTTCCGCCTAGAGGTAAAGAAAAAAATTGAGCCGTTATCTTCACAGATCCTTTGGATATTAAGTATGTACCATTGACATTGTGGTTGAGATTCTGACTATGCTTATGTGCAGTTTGTGGCTAAAGAAGAAGAACATACGGATGGAGATTTGGATATCAAGGCTCTAGAAGATGGTTTTGTAAGTTGGCATGATCATGCTCTCTTCTGTATCATTTATCCAGTTTCCTTTTCTGTGTCCTGCTCTTTTCTGAATAAATACTTTAGCTCATCTTGATACAGAGTTTGTCTGGTTAAATTCTTGAATCTATAGATATTTTCCGATCTGGACTCTAAACTACTATTGGTAATGACAGGTTTCTGTGACTCCACTGTCTATACTTCCAAAACTGGACTCAGAAACTCAAGCCGCAGCATCAGAATGGATCTCCAAAGCACTTAACTCTGATCAATGAAAAAGGCCATACTCGTAAATTATGTTACATGATCTGTGGCCAAAACTCTCTCAACTCTGGTATAACTCGATTCTGCATTTGTTTGTTCTTGTGGTCTTGTTGTCATTTTAACCCTTTTGTTAATTTTATTTATTCGATTCCCCTACTAGTCTCGTGGGTTGGTTTTGTTGGCTTGTTTGGTAACGCTTACCTTTGTAATTGGTAAAAACGGGTCGGCTTAATTTTTCTCTCTTCCAAATTCATACAGCATTGCATTTTGTTTTGTAAACCTGTTGACTGAGAAGAACGGTCTTTCACAAGTTATGGCTGACAAAACACAATTGCATCATCCACCACTTGAGTAACCTTTGAATTTTGCCAGTTTCATTTTTAAACTCATCTCTTCAGAATGTCTCTTAGAGGGAGGCACTGGGATTTTAATATCTCAGATTTAACCAATAGCCACGTATTTCACATTCAAATCCCAGACAGCTACTAACAATCCTAGCCAAAGATTGCACTGGTTTTGATTTCAAATCTCTGGCAATCATCTTGTTTCAGATTAGTCCTCAAATGACAACACACACAAGTCACATTTCATGATACAAGAAGAAAAATGTATTACAACTTTTGCATAGCTACCAACAAATACTGCACTATCCAGGTTCTACAGCAAGGAATTATCTTTCCTGTTTGTCTTAATGGATGCTGAACAACATTAGTGTAGCGAGACATCAACATAGATAACAGAGTTACAGTACTATCACTTGCATTGTATCCGGCACACCGACCAAATCTTTTTTAAGTAGGCTTAGAACATGATCTTCACTTTGATTGTCAAAGCCACATGTGATATGAAGGCGAAACTTCTTCATCTGCTCCTACATATTGCTCCAACTCTGTTCGAGCTCTTGGGAAGTATTCACCTGCTCCTATGTAGTTAGATATTTGGCGGCTACCTTTATCTTGTAATGCTTCGAGCTTGCGCAGTGTTCTTTTCCAACTCTCTTCGTCTTTATCGTATAAGAATGATCCGAGTACTTTGAGGGCCAGAGGATGACGCCCAGCAAATTGGACAGCACGAATGGATAACCCTTCAAAACCAACCAGAGGGCAAGTCTTCTTGAAAGCTGACTGAGAGAAGAGTTGAAGAGCTTCATCATATCTTAGGTACTCCATCTGGTAGACATATTTCACACCGCAGGAGGTAAGCGTATTGTCGAATCTAGATGTCATGATGACTCTACTTCCGGGGCCGAGCCAACGGGTAACCTTCATGGCATCCTTGAGTTGCTCATGGTAATTCTGATGAACACCATCAATAACAAGTAGGACCTTTCGGTTTACAAGACATGGTTTGATGGCATCAAAGATGTTATCGGAACTCTTTTTTCTTGTAAGATGTTTTAGCAAGCTTGGTGAGATGCGGTTTTGATAGATGTTGTTGACATTGCTTAGGAAGCAGTGGTGTTGAAAGTGGCGCGAGATGTCGTCGAAAACACTTTCCGCGAGTGTCGTTTTACCGACGCCATCCTCTCCCCAAATGCCAACTGTACGGACAATGTTCGTAGATTCCAAATCAAGCAATGCATAGACGGCTTTCTTGTGACGATACATCCCAACAAGACCGCTGGAGTCTTCAGATGCGGGAGAAGGCGATTTATTCGACAATTCAACGTCTGTAAAAGACGTGTCCTGGCTCTCAAGTTCAGCTTCTCCAGACAGGCTTTGCGGTATGTGCTTCATATAGGTATCGCTCATCAAGCTCAACTCGCTGGATTCGAGGTCAGTTGATGACTCCGCCCTTTCAGATTTTTGTGCGCCTAGATGGAATCTAGGAAACCGAGGAGAAGAAATGCTGTTGATCAGATCATCGAGCATCTTGGAATCATCCTCCCTGTCCAGGAACAAATCCTTAAAAATATCACCATGCCAAAACATTTTTTTTTTTTTTTTTCTTTTTTAATTCTCCTATACTCTAATAGGTAATAGCAATGAATTTCTTTATCTATGTAAACAAAATGGATACAACATAATTTTAGATAATATTTTTTTTTCCCACATAATTTAAACATTATGAGACGCATGATTTATTTCTACAAAATGGTTAAGACCTATAGTTTAGATTAGAACTTCTATGTTAGCAAAATAAAATAAGCCGAGTAATGAGCACTATGCCACTATCAATATTTGATCTTTGCTTGGTTAGTAGATTACCAATCGCGCGAACAAAATTTAGGGTCGTTGCTCTCCAATCGCTCCAGTGCATTCCTCCAGCGATTCACGGTCTCAGGAGTTTCACTCTCTTCATGCCTCCTCAAGTCGTCGGCGAATTTCCCAGTTGGTCTTGTCAAATCCTCCGGATCCATTTCGTAGAAGACTGTATAGATGGGCATGTCAAAAGTAAACCTCGCATGCTCAATGATCTTCGCGAGTACCTCCAAGCACCAGACGGAAGAGGCGTAGTTCTCTGATATCACAACGACGGCAACATTTGACTCCTCGATAGCCCGATCGACCTCAGGAGATACTCTTCCGTCTATCGTCTGCTGGTTTTCATCGTTGTAAGTACGAATCTCTTTTTGATCCAACGAACGGTAGAGATGGCTGACGAAAGTTGTGCCAGTGTCCTCCCTTTTATAGCTCAGAAACACCGACGGAGGAGAATCCATGATTATCGATAGTGAAGATATGATCGATTCGTGAATTTGACCGATGAAATAGAGTCGGTCAATGGTGCAGAATATGTAGAGCGACGATAATCCAAAAGTTAACGGATTAAAAAATGATACTGGCGACGTGCAAGTATGTGATGGTCATGGCTTGGAGGTTCTTATGGAACCATGAATTTGATATCATTATATGGACAACGTGCAAGTGTGTGGTCTTTTTGAACTATGGATTTGCTATGATTTGTTGGTATCACATCTTGATTTTCTTCAACCTGCAAAAGTTTCTTTCTTGGCCACGTAGTTGATCCATAGAGACCGATGGCTTCGTCCTCTTCGTCTCCTATTTGGAAGTACGATGTGTTCCTGAGTTTCCGGGGAGAAGACACCCGCAAGAATATCGTCAGCCATTTGCACAAAGAGCTTGTCAACAGGGGAATTGTTACCTTCAAGGATGATCAAAGGCTTGAGGTCGGCGACTCCATTTCCGAAGAGCTAACCAGAGCCATCCAAGACTCCAGAATCGCTGTTGTTATTCTATCACAGAACTATGCTACATCTAGCTGGTGCCTGGACGAACTCGTAATGATAATGAATCTTCGCTTGAAGAAAGAGATGAAAGTCGTCCCCGTTTTCTATGGAGTTGATCCTTCTCATGTGAGACATCAGACTGGGAGTTTCACGTTCGACAAGTACCAAGGCTCAGAAATCGCTAACAAGGTCGTGAAATGGAGAGAAGCGCTCTCGCGGATCGCCAGCATAGCAGGCAAGGATTCTGCAACTTGGTAAGTTTTCGTTACCAACATATATATATATATATATATATATATATATATATATATATATGTACCATTATCATATCTATGGAAACGTTCATAATTGCTCTGCGAATTTTCCATATGATAGTGAGAACGAGGCCATCATGATTGAAGAGATTGTGGAAGGCATTTCAAACAAGTTGTTTGTTATGCAGCCAGTAGATTTCAGTGATCTTGTTGGAATGGACGATCACATGGAACGACTGAATCCTCTGTTGAGTTTGGAATCTGAGAAAGAGGTTCGGATGATAGGAATCTGGGGAATGGGAGGCATTGGCAAAACCACCATCGCCAGGTGTCTCTTTGACCTGTTTTCAAGGCCATTTACAGCTCGTTGCTTTCTTGAAAACGTTTCGAAGATTTGTAGAAAGCATAGTGTCTCGTATTTACGGGAAAAGTTTCTTTCGACCACACTTTGTCTCTCCAAGAACTCGGGCGTAGAACTTGGACCCCAGGAGATTAAGGCGAGATTTGGAAACCGCAAAGTCTTTGTTGTCCTTGATAATGTGGATGACATGAAACAGGTGCGTGCCCTGGCTAAAGAGTCTAGCTGGTTTGGTCCAGGCAGCCGAATCATCATAACAACTCGGGACAAGGGCTTGCTTAAATCATGCGGAGTAAGAACTGTATATGAAGTTAAGTGCTTGGATACTGATGCTGCTCTTAAGATATTTAACCAGTTGGCTTTCGAAGGAGGGTTTCCTCCTGATGAAATTTATGAAAAACTGTCAATCCGAGCGGCGTGGCTTGCACAAGGTCTTCCGGCCGCTATTGAAGCTTACGGTTTATATTTCCGAGGAATGACATCTTTGAAGGAGTGGGACGATGCGTTATGTAGATTTATGAGGACTCCTGATGGAAATGTCAA